CCCGGTGACACCAAGCAAGCGGCAGCCCCAGGACCTGGCAATCGTTAACCGCTCTGGCCTCATCAGCAGTCTGCTCACGCGCTTGGCCAGCCCGGGTCGAACACCGGCACCGGGGACCATCTATTCATCCCAGAGAAACCGTCCTCCAGGAACCCCCCTCCCACCTCCATACGGGACGGGACCTGCCCTCCACCCTCTCCAAACGCTATAGGGGTGCCCGGCTCTGGCAGCGTGGGCAGTGTGAGGCGGGATTTATTTACTCACATTCTCGGGATGGTTATGGTAATGGCCGGGGGCCGGACACCCACGGGAACAATTCGGGGGTGTCACAGCACTCAATGTCCTTCTTGTTCAAGGACAGTTCCCTCCTCCCCGACATCATGAGTCCCTTCCCACGCTGCAGGCACGGGGTCCGTCCAGGGGATGCTCTGGGTTTTAGCCTGGGGTTGCATTGCCCATACCAAAAATCCCTGCTTGCTCCCCCCAAATGGCCCCTTTTGTCCCCCAAAAATGCCTTCCTGGGGTTGCAGGGCTGCAAAGCCCTTGGGTAAATGTTTGCAAGGAGGGAAGGATGCGTCCCAACACCGGATGACAGGCTGGGGGGACACGACAGCAGCCTCCAGCCTCCCACTCAGCATGCAACATCTTAGAAAAAACCACCTTTATTCACCCATTTTCTGCAGAAGGCACTTAAATAGCCGCAGGTTCAGCCGAGCAGAAAGGCACGTGTCTGCTACTGTGGCACTGGGTCCTCACCCCTAAAAGAGCATCCCTCCCCTGTCCCCCAGGTCAGCCCGCCCCCCGAGTCTCCGTGATACCCTCAGCTCAGGTCCGCAGGGGGATGCTGGGTGCTGCAGGGGTGGTGCAGAGCATCGCCCAATTCCCCATCCCACGGTTGCCGGGGACAGAAGGGGAGTCCTGGCTGGCAGCCTCGTGGCTGAGCAGCCTGAAGCCACAATGCTGGTGTTGCTGGTCCCGGCGGGGACGTCCTGGTCCCCAGGGGACATCACAGCTCGTCCTTCCTCACGGCGACAGCCGCCAGCGGCTTCACATGGCGCCTGCCCCATCTCCTGCAGCAACTCACCCTCTTCGGCACCAAAAAGCATCTTCACCAGGTCGTCTGCCTGCACACGCTCCTGGGGGGCAGACCCATGGGGTTAAGCATGGCCATTGTCCCCCCACCAAAAACTCCACCTACTGCTGGGGAGGGGGCTTACCCGCTCACTGTGTCGAGGGTCCAGTGTGAACCAGAGGGCGATGGCACAGCGTTGGCCCTTGGTCACCGCTTTCACCCCATGGGGGTTTTCGGAGCCAGAGGAGAAGCCCACGGCACGGCCGCACTGCGGCTGAACCTCCGCCTGTGATGGATGGGAGACCCCGGTCAGGATGCAGCCGGTGGGTCAGGGATGAGTTGATTCCCCCAGCCCAACTTCATCCCTTGTGGTGCCACAGGGGACGGGGCCAGCGGGCAGGAGCTGGGTTTGGTGCTGCACATGGATCCTCAAGGAGCTGAGCTACTTACGGTCTCAGTCTTGGCATCCAGCTCAGTGAAGTAGAAAGCTCCTCCTTCAAAGTCCCCATTGAGATAGAGGATGGCACTAAAGGAAGCAGGGGACAAGTGGAGGTGACAACCATCGCCACAGCTCCAGCAAACAGATGAGTCTGGACCTCCCCCAACACCATGGCAAGAGCAAGAGGCAGGAGAGCCCAGGCTGGGTTGTCCTCCCGTCCTGCTCCTCCCAACCCTGGAGCCGCCAAGCCATAGGGCCCTCAGGTGGGGAAGCTCTGGCTGACAGACGCCATCGGTACCTGTAATCCCGGAAGGTGTAGGCTGGAGGTTCCTTCACACACACCAGGGCCTCTGCGTTGAGGATGCAGTTGTCCACGTGCACCTCATGACTGCTGTCACTTCGTCCTTCTTGCTTCTCTAGGGTGGAATGAGACCTGGCACATCAGGACCCCTTTGTCCCTGCAGGACCAGGGTCTGTCCCCAAGCATCACATGCCTGGAGGTGACAAGAAAGTCACCCGTAGCCTAAAGCCCTTCCTCTTGCTGAGTGTGGGCCATGAGAGGCCGTTTGGGTGGTGCAAGCACTGACTTGTCCCATGGCATGCCCATAGCCCTCCAGACACAGCGTCTCCCAGCACCTGACCCCAAATGCCTCCAAGTGCTGGAATCCTGTACAGCATGAAGCCACCTGCCCCACTGGAGGCAACCCATAGAGCTGCTCGTCTTCCCAAACTGAGCTTAGGGACAAGCTCCCCACACCTCCTTTTGGGAAAGGAGCAGGTTAGGGAGCAGCAAGGGGACCAACCCGGCCATTGGAGGGAACCTGGACAGGACAAGAGGCTGAAGGGGACTTGTTTCTCCTCGAGTTTGCTCCTCCGAGGCCATGCTCACCGTCGATGGCCGTGCGGCACACCAGGTGGGAGTAGGAGAAGTGGAGCGGGACCTCCAGGCGGAAGTAGGACTCCATCATGTGCCGCACCTTCTCCGTCACGTTGTAGTAGAGGTAGGCGCTCTGCAGGGGCACCTTGCCCTCCTGGCCCAGCTGCAGGGGACAGAGAGGACAGGGGCTCAGCCGCAGGCGGGTTGGGCAAGGACGAGCAGCGGCCTGCCTTCCCCCCTTGTCTCCAGAGCCTCCTACTCCCCCCTTCCCTGCAGCCACCCTAACCTTGAGGGCCTTGAGGACAGTCACACCGTAGAAGGTCTCACTCGGGGTGTGAGGAGACGTCTTCCCACGATAGCCATCCCCTGCTGAGGCAGCTGCCTGCAAAACCCAATTGGTGTTACCAGTCTGACTTCTGAGCCACAGGATGGGATTCTTCAGCATTCCCAGCTCATTCCTCCCATCCCCGCACTCACGTTGGTGAGTCTCTGCAGCTCCCGGCACTCCTCGGCAGAAAGGACTCCATCCACCACAACGCGCTGGGAGCCGTTCAGGGTCTTGGAGTTCATGGTGACACTGGCTCCTTCGTACACCAAGGGGCCACCTGTAACACAAATGGGATCAGGAGGACACAGGGATGTCCTTCCACTGGGGGAAGCTGTGGCCCGGCCACCTGCTCCTGCCACCATCCACGTGGAGGGACCATGGCGGCAGGAGACATGGAGGTCCCCATCCCACCTCCCCTCCCATCCTCTGCACCTTCTCGGATGAACTTGCTCATATCAGCAGACTCCTTGGCCTTTTCCTCCACCAGCGTCTCAATCTCCTTCATGAGGTTGCCAATCTCCTCCGAGATGCGCGCTGCCGTCTCCCGCTCCACCCTGGGCACATGGCAGCCATCAGCGCCACCGCCCACTGTCCCCAAGTCGGGAACGAGGGGCACCAGGACAAGTTGTCTCCAGGGACCAGTAACAAAGCCCAAGGCTGGAAAGAGTCAGCTCGACAAATCCCTCACCACGAGATGCTTGGGATGACCCACCCATCCCCATCACCCCAGGGGCCAACGGGGAGCAAAGTTCTGTCCTCCAGCAGCCTCTTCCAGCCTCAACACCAAAAAAAATCACTGGCAGCAAGGCCATGGCCTTTGGCCCAAACCACAGGGAGGAAGAGGGCTACGTCTCACTGGTCCCCCCACTGGGGTAGGCTTGGCCATCGGCTTGGGAGAGCACTCACTTTTGTTTCTCTCGCAGTCTTTTTGGTATCACCTCTTCAGGAGTCCACGTGTCCTGCAGCCAGAAGAACATCATCAGGAGCTGGACGAGGATCTGGCTGGGATGCAGACCCCACGTCCCCTTCCCATTTGGCCACCGCGTCCAGCCTGGCCCAGCACCACTCACCGGGTCCACGAAGGGGATGCCAAAGACATCGTAGCTGAAGAACAGCAGCTCCTTCTCCATCAGGCTTCGCTGGCGGTATGCCTGGATCTCCTGTGGCGAAGGGCAGAGGGATGGGGTGAGGGCATGGCATGAGAGCTCTAGAAAGACCCCGAGCGAGGGTGCTGGGTTTACATCATTCCCATGGTCCTTGCTCGAGACCTGCAGACCTGGTTTCCCAGTCCCCCTGGCAGCCCGGAAGCAAGTGGCTTTCCCCATCCTGCATGAACTTCCCTGTCCTGTGTGGATGAACCGTGAGGAGAGGACGGGGGAGACAGAGCCGCATGCATGTCCCTGCTGCAGAAAGCTCTTTAGAAGCAAATTCCCCTCCCTGCTCCAGTTGAGGTGGGGCCGAGACCTCCATCCCTGCCTACCACATCCCTCCCAGGCAGCACCTGACCACCCACATCCAGCTATTTTGGAGCCAAATCCTCCTCTTTTAAAGCAATTTCACAGCAGCTGTAGAAGTCTGTAGCAGAGTTGGGCTCAGATCCTCCTAAAAAATCTGTCCGTCTGCCTCTCATAGATGTCTCCCAGAAGACCTGGTCCATTTGCGCAAGCCATAAAGCCTTCACTTGGCCAAACATATCTTTCCAGTGATGATTTCCAGTCTCTCAGCTATTTTCCAGCTTGTTAAGTCTTGCATCCATCCAATTCTCTCTACCTTGCCACCAAAGGGTGGCTGGACCGGAGCACACCCCAAAACCTCTGCAAACGTTACGATCCCCAGGAGGGGAGAAGATGTCCCCGCACTGGCTCATCCCAGCTGGTCGCTCACCTCTCGGGGCTGTATGGGTCCTGCCAGGTTTTCTCCCAGGACAGCAGTGTAATAGGCCAAATTCTGGTTCATCACCTCATCATTTGGGAAGAAGAGCAAATAGGTTTTGGTGCATTCAATGGCTTTTTCGTAATTCCCATCTGCAAAGAGAAACAGGGCTGTTACAGCACATACAAAAGCATCAGAGACTGCCAACACAGATATGGAGGAGAAACAAGAGAGAAAGTCCTTGTTCTCCAAAGGGTCTCCCAAGTAGGGCAGATACCCTGGAGCAAAGATTACTCCTGCCATAAAAGCAAAATTAAGAGGCCAAGGTCCTCTCCTGTCTGCAGAAATCACCTCACCAGAAATCAGGGACGCTGCTTGGGTAGGTTTTTTTGCATGGAAAACATCTTGAAGCCTATTTCCAGGCAGCAAGACCTAACCATTTCCAGGCTAACCTGCAATTTTCAGCCACTTAAGCACCCTGACACACTTTCATCGTCAGGATCGCAGCCTTTCAATCTTCCTGGACTTCATTTTTTTTTCGCCTCCTTTTGGAGAAATCTGCACAGAACCAGTTAAGATTTTTCTAAGGAGGTGAATAAAAAATAAAATAAAATTGGGTATATTTGCCTGGGTTATAACTAACTGTTTTGGAGGGGGAGGTTCCTCTGTGGTTTGGAGCAAGAGGTGGACAGCTGGCAGGAGAAGAAAAAAAAATGCTTCTCTAGGCTGTTATTTCACTTGGAAAGCGAAACTGCCTGGGAACTGAGCATCTAAAGTGACGTGGACTGTTCCTGCAACCAGGCACAGTGAGATCCAACTCTCCTGTGGCACATTTCAGGCTGGAGGAGCAGGACTGCATGAACCTCATGAAGATCGACAAGGACAAGTGGAAGGTCCTGCACCAGTGTCAGTAAAGATGTGGAATGGATGGATTTAGATCAGCCCTTGGAGATCAGGACTTGGAGATACCGGTGGATGAAAAATTGGACATGAGCTGGCAATGTGTGCTCGCAGCCCAGAAAGCCAACCGCATCCTGGGCTGTGTCACGAGAAACGTGGCCAGCAGGTCGAGGGAGGGGATTCTCCCCCTCTACTCTGCTCTGGTGAGACCCCACCTGGAGTGCTGCGTCCAGCTGTGGATCCTCAGCACAAGGATGTGGACCTGTTGGAGTGGGTCCAGAGGAGGCCACAAAAATGGACACAGGGACGGAACGCACCCTGTGAGGAAAAGCTGAGAGAGCTGGGATTGTTGAGCCTGGAGATGAAAAGGCTCTGGGGAAACCTTGTAGTCTTTCTATAGATTAAGGGGGCTTGCAGGAAAGATGGACACAACTTTTTACCAAGGCTTGTAGTGACAGGACAAGGGGCAAGTTTTAAACTGAAAGAGGGTAGTTTTACGTTGGCCATAAAGAGAAAATTTTTTATGGTGAGTGGTAAGACAGTGGAATAGGTTGTCCAGAGAAGCTGTGGACGCCCCATCCCTGGAAGCATTCAAGGTCAGGTTGGACAGGGCTTTGAGCAACCTGCACCAGTGCAACATGTCCCTGAACCTTGGGTTGGACTAGATGATCTTTGAAGGTCCCTTCCCAACCCAAAGCATTTGGTGAGTCTGTGATTTCTGCCCGTGCAGGAATGGCCTGTGCAGAGCACCATGTCCAGCTCCGACGGCCAACGGAGGACGGGGCAACAAGCTGCTTACTGTTGTAGTAGGCAAACTGGAGGTAGTTGAAGTGCGAGGGCAGGAAATCCTCCAAAGGCTTCTCCCGGCCGGGCTGGGAGGCCAGCTCTGTAACGCAGCCCTGCTTGCAGCTTAGCACCTGCATGTAGTGGTCTGGTGGAAAAAAACTCTGTGTTACTGCACGTGGTCATCCCAGGGGTGGTGGACAGGACCTTGAGGGTCTTCACTCCAACCTCCTGCTCACAGCAGGGCTGTTGAGAGCTTTTTGGTGGTGGAGGTGGAAACCCCCAAGGATAGTGGTCGCCCACCTCCGTGTGACTGGGGCTGTGCTGCTTTCTGTAAAAGGAGTGGCCACCCTCAGCCTCCCACCCTTGTGTCCTGGTGACCCCTCCACTGGTCCTCTCCTGTTTCTCCACATCCCTCTAGAAACTGGAGGGCTTCCTGGGCATTACCCCCAGTGCTGAGCGCATACAAACACCTCCTGGCCACGTTCCCCCTAGTGAAACCTAACATGGGCTTTGTCCTCTCTGGGACCCACCAACCCCTGGGTCATTGGGGACCTTTTCGGACTGTCCCCAGCCCTTGAGTTGGGACGCAGCACGCCTGGCTCCCACCTGTGATGGCCTGGAAAAGGTCCGCGTTGTACTCCAGGTAGTTGTAGCCCTCATAGTCGTAGGGTCCCTCACAGAGCACACGGCACTCAGCGTCTGCCACAAAATACTCCTCCAGCGCCTTCTCCAGGTGCAGGATGGCAGCGGCCGGCTGCTCATCCGTGTAAAACCGCACACCCAGCCGAAACTCACTCTGTGGAGGGATAACAAATGATGGGGGGGGCTCAACGCCCTGATCCCTGTGACGGGGCACCCAGCGTGCCTTGTCCCCACAGGATGGACCTCACAGCAGCAAAGTGGCATCCCATGAGCTTGTGGAGCCAAAAGCCGCGGTGTGACTTCCCCAGGTCCAGCAGCAGATGGGTGTTTTGCCCAAAGTGGGGGGTGGG